GTTGAGTTCTGCGTTGGGTGACTGTGTGACCAAGCCAAGGCTCTGGCCTCTGCAGGTCTCACTGGCTACATGTGGGAATGAAAGATGAGATCCTAGCCATGCACAGAAAGTTCCCAGCAAGGTGGCACTGGGGAACTGTGGCCTCCATGCCGAGGGGGCAGCAGGGTGTCTGCATTCCTCCTCACTCCCCACTTAGGTCTTCAGCCTGTTCCACAGCCCCAGGGAAAGGGTGAGGTTTTGGAGAAATGGAAAGTGAGCCTCTTGAGATCAGGGTGTGGATTGTGAGGCTTGGCCCTGCCTCTACCTCTGCACAGCCCTCTGGCTTCTCCTTCAGCAGCCAGCCCCTCAGCTTAGCCATTCCTGATGATATCACAGAGCTCCATAACCTTCCCTTTTTACAAACTCTTGCTGATGGAAAATTCTTCCTCATACCTAATCTAAGTCCATCTGCTGCAATTTCTGTCTATTTTCTCTCGTTCAATCCTTACTGGAGATGGAGAACAGCTGGTTGCCATCCTCCATATAACATCGTCTCCTAAACCAAAATCAGTTATGACATCACCCTCAGCCTGTTTTTCTTCTGGCATAGCATCCAGCACTCCTTCCGACCTGCCCTCAAGGATTCTGTCTCCCAAAGCACCACTGGCCACCAGGACTCAGACTGGAGGGTGCTCTGTGAGTACCATATCCTTCCAGATCTATAGCACCTACGATGGCATGGAGGACACTGTGGCCAGATCCAGAGAAGTCAGAGCAAAGGGAACCAAAGAGAACACAGGTTAGGACCTGGACTTTACACAGGAGGAGACTGAAAGTCAGAAAGAGCAAGTCAAAAGGCAGAAAGCTCAAGGTCAAATTCAAGAGGTCAGGCTCAAGCTGCCACACCCCCAGCACTGCCGCAATACCTGAGCAGCGTCAGGTTGTCCTCTACATTGGCAGAGCAGAACCAGCCTGGACGGAGAAGCAAAGAGACCATTTCTTAGCATTCTCCTGACACAAAGTCCTATTCCTATGTCCACTAGCAGATACGTGAATTCCCACTCTGCACACTTTTGATTTCCACTAAGAACCCAAATACTAAACTGAGAGTATAGCTCTGTGGTACAGTGCTTGCCTAGCATGCATAAGTCTCCAGGTTCCACCCCCAACACTGCAAAAATAAAGAAAGGATGAAATAAAGTAAAAGAAAAACAATCCAAATACCTCTGCATGTGGCAATAGTATATTAGTTGTAACATTCATCCTTAATATGAGAAAGTAGATTTGATATTTGGTCTTTTCCAAATATCGATAGATTCCGAGTGAGAAGAGAACAAAGAACAAAGAGGCTGGAATGACAGACAAACTGCACTGTCCGCTAGTGTTTACAAGGTCAGTCCTGGCTGCAAAAGGACGGCAGGGTATGTGGCTTCCTCTGGTGGGGGTCCACAGACACAGAAAACGCCCCTGCTCAGACACATCAACTAGCAGCCACGCCAGGTCAGCTGCACCCCAGGTGCTCCTGCGAGGTCTGCAGCAGAACTGAACTTGGTGAGAGGATTACCTCACTGCTCCCACTGGGAAGGCTCTCCTGAATGTGAGTATTACAGCCTTTCTAAGGTCTCCTGCTTAACTCTTTCCAAAGGGAAATGAGCAGGGCATGTAAAAGTAGGCCCCCACCCCACAGTGCCCTTAAGTGACAGCAGGGAGGAGGAGGGAAGGAGACAAGAGATGGATACCTGCCTATCAGATTGTGTAATAGCTATTATTCAGTTACCTGTTTCAAGGTGAAATCACTCCCCAGGGGGAGAAAGGAGGAGTATGTGAGTGTAGGGAAGAGTGAGTCACATCAACTATTTACTCATAATTTTAACTATGAAATTTTCCTAAATGAAGAATGGAGGAGGACAAGAATAGAGTGGGGAATATATATATATATATATATATATATATATATATATATATATATATATATATATATATATATTTAGGACCTGGGTTTCAAAACAGCCTTCTTCCCACTCTGAATACACAGGGGCACATGTGCATGACCTCATCAACTTCTGGGGACGCTTCTAGTTGCTGCGAGGCTCCAGACCACCTTGTGCAGGGCAGCTGTCAAACTCACACAGTCAGGCAAGATGGCACAGTGACAGTATTCACCAAAGCACCCAACCTGATGAGTGCGCTTATTTGATTTCCACTAAACCACAAAAATTAAATTTAAAAATAGCAGACAAAAGGCAATTCTGACCAAAAAAAATGTAATATGTTTTCCATCCTATTTCAGTGGCCAGTTTCCTTTAACAACAGAATTGTCACAAAATGACGAAATCAAAGCAGGTTGCCAAAGAGATTACTTATTAGTGTGTTTATGATGGAAAGGGAGGACAGGGAAGGTGACAGAGACGGGATCTGGAATGGTGGGATGGGATCTTTAGTTGCCAGCTAACTCATACTATGAGGGGAAGAGCAATCCTCCACAGCACTCTGGTAAATGCCAGAAATGCTGGCTGGCCAATGGGGAGAAGGAGAACTTGCTCAACCTCTGGCTGGTGCTTACCCAGGGTCCTGTCTAAGGCTGTCACATCTGATGAAGTGACAAGTAATAAATTCCATTTCCTGAGCATCCATCAGGCCTTTCACACACAAACAGACACCCAGCTTCATGATGAGTCCATCAGCCTAACACCCTGAATGACTCTCCCAGCTGGATCACAAGCAGAGGAGCCGTGCTTCACACCTTACTCCATCTCAGGTGAAGCTGTGATGATGGTGTTTTGCATTTTGTCAATTATGCTCCACTTCCTATAACCCCCCCATTTAGCTTAAGTTGTTATTTTAATGATCTCTGTTCCAAATGTGGAAATACAAGGAAGAAGAATGAGGAGGAGGCAGAGGAAGAAATCAAGCACTCCAGTGTGTGTCCCACTTGTACTTCTTAAAGCTCCCTGGGCTTCCTCCCCCCACACCCAGCCATGTCCCTCTGTGCATGAGTCACCATTCAGAAGCTGTTTTAAATGCCTTACTTTTAATGTTCTCTATCCAAACAGAAATCCAGGAGATCAGTATCAAATGAGGGGACTTCTAGTTCTCCTCCCGGTTCCCAATCCTATCAAACTCAAAAGAACTTTCTAACGTACTGCTGTTTTCATGAAAACCAAGGCTCCTGCTTTCAAGACCCTGAGGCTAGGTGCTGTCCTCCTGGAGCCCGGGGGTCCATGCACTATAGAAAGACCACAGAAGACAAGGTCCTGCTTCCAACCCTCCCAACAGCCTGGAAAAGTTCAGCTGCTCTCCTAGCTGCAAACACAGCGGGATCATCCCACTCAGGGCTGCGAGTTTGCATTGTTGCCTGTCAGGCCAGCATGTGCTGAGGAGAAGGCTGACTGTACCCTGACCAACAAGGACAAAAACAAAAAGTCAGGAACCTGCTTTTTTTTTTTTTTTTTTTAACCACTGTGAGTAGAGCTTCCATAATAACAGTTCCCACCCAAAATAGCTGCCTAAAGGAGGTGGAGGAAAACCTGTTGTGTGTGGTGGCAAAAAGAAATAAGAATCAGAGAGAGAGAGAGAAGCCAGAAAATCCAGACTGCCATCTGCACCTCAGCAGGAAGGGTGTCACAGGGGAGAGGTGGCGCAGAGCGTCCTTCCCAGAACATTCCTATTTGGATGCCCCAGCTGCAGGCAAGGGCAGAATTCACCTGGATCTCACCCAGCCCAAAGCTTCAGGCACTTGTGACACCACGCAGCGATTGGGAGCTTGCGGGTGTTCAGTAGGTGTGGCCAGCCACACACCTGGGAAGGTGCTACGCAGCACAAACCCAGGAGTTGCATGCATGGAAGCAGGAAGGAGTTCAAGGCCAAGCGCACTACCTTCTCCCCCACCTGGAGGTCTGCCTAACTAACACTGACTGTGGCAGAAACTGGAGGAAAGAGTTCCCCCTGGGACCAAAAGCAAGAGTCACATCATGTCATATCACCCACCCCACAAGTAGGTGTCCAGCTTTCGGTCCACAACGGAGAATGCCTGAGGACGCTGCCCTGCTGAGCCAGCTGCCTGCCATCACGAGCTTTTCTACTTGAAGCACAGTCAACAGGGGCAGTGTGGATGGTGACTTCAGCTCCTCCATCTTTCTGCCACATTGCACCTGCGCACCTGCACAACCTGAGCACCTAGCCAGAGCAGCCCCAGCGGCTGGCAGTCCCACCACCCGCCTCCACCTCCAGAAGTACGGGATGCTCCAGGCTCCATGCGACTCCAGCACAGGTATGAGCCATGCACAGGCTTGGATTCAGCTCCAACCCTATTTTTTCGGGACACACCAAACCTGGAAAATGTCGCAAAGTTTGGGGGAGCTAAGCAATGAAGTGATTTCTCTTCCTCTGATCTGTTCTGTCAGTTTCTCCACAAGTTGTACAGTACCCAGATGCTGACCGTGTCAAACAGCACAGGCCCCCACACCCTCATAATTTCTTCCACCAAATAAAATGAACAAAGACAGAGTGGACAAGGGGCAGGAGGGAGAAGGGAACAGAAGTTTGAGGAAGGACTCCAGTTGAAGGTCACAGTACTTTGGGGAAGGCAGGTCAAGGTAGTCCAGAAAGGAAAAGACCCTGTGGTACGAAACCTGACCCGCCAGCCACACTTCTCAGACCAGCTTCCCAGGGACGGTCACCACATCATCCTGGGGTATGGGAAACACTGTTCAGCATCCAGAGGTCCTCCTTCCTTCGTCCAGCAAATCCAAGCCTACACCCCAACCATGCGGAAGAGCAGATGGATTTTGACAGACCTGAACACAGCTAATTAAGAGTAGTAAACAAACCCGGCTACTGGCAAGCGTAGAAGTTTTCCAAATTGTTGGCTTGTTTTCCTCCCCGAAAAAAGGCTATGAATTCCCACCTTTGCCACATTCCCTCCCCTAAACTTTTCTTTCTGCAATCCTCCACCTCTGCTAACCTGCAGCCACCAAGCAAGAACAAGGGTGAGCAGCACCCTGGGATGTGGGCAGTGGTACCTTGTCAGAAGAGTGGGATCCTGAGTGGTCCCCAGGCTCGATGCCCCGCCGAGGTGGGAAGACGCTGTCCGAATGGAGCACGCTGAGGATTACGCGTTCCTGTCTCTGCTCTGCGACCAGACCTTTCAGCAGCTTGGACCAACTGTGCTAGCGATGCACTTAGCAATTATCTGCTGGCGCCGACGCCCCGCCCTCTGCTCTTGCGATTGGCTCTCCAGCCCCGGGCAGGACTGCATTGGTCTCCGCCGACCTCACTCATTGCTTTGGCTCCTACTATTATCTAAGCCATCAAAGGAAATAATTCCATGTTTCATTGACAACCTGTAAGGCTCTTTTCCTCTGGCTCTGTGTGGGGCCAGAACGAGGAGTCCAGCGGAGGAAGGGGAGGGGAGGAGAGTAGCAGAGGTGGGGAGAGGGAGAGGGAGAAGGAGGGAGGGAAGGGGAGAGAGAGAGAGAGAGAGAGAGAGAGAGAGAGAGAGAGAGAGAGAGAGAGAGAGAGCTATCAAGCAATCAGATTCTTTCTCCAGCATTTTAACTTCCACAAAACAGAGCCCATAGCAACAATTTTCTGGCCTTACTGGTAAATGTTCCTGAGGCAGAGAGAATTATAACCGCGGGGTTCCTGCGGGTGTCAGACAGGCTTTGGAAATCAGAGCAAGTTGAGGGCTGAAGGAATAGAGTGATGCTTTTACACCCTGGAGGGCATGTGAAGGTCACTTTAGATTGTTTAGGGGATTACGTTCTGCACCTTGACTGGATTTTATCTATGTGCTCCTTGCACATGGTCCACCTGGCACCCCTACCTTAGATGATTTCCCTTCGCACCCTCTGGAAAGTCTCAGAAGAGCTATTCTGAAGTCAGTGAAGTCTAGAGTTTCTCACTGGCCTCACAGGAGGGCCAAGAGGACAGGTGCTTTAAGTTGAATCATTCTGTGGGGAGGGACATTCAACTGCCCCACATTCTGTCTTGTCTTCGGTTAATGGCTCAGACTCCCAATATCAGCCAGAGCTAGGGACAAGCAGGCAGCTACCCTCATGAGCCTGGATTGCTTCACTTTTCCTTGTCTATCAAGGAATCAGAAAGCCCAGGTTTTCACTTTTTTTTCCCACCGGGTTAATGTATTTACTTGGGGACAAAATTTATGAGGGGAAAAATAATATTAGCTTAAAAAGTGCTGTGAGTGTAGTTCAGAAATAGAGCACCTGCCTACCATGCACAAGGCCTTGGGTTCCTCCCCAGGACTAGAAAAAAAAAAATGACAAAGGGAGGAATCAAGGGTCAGTTAATTAAAAATTAGTTTTCCAAGATGCCCACCTTGGGATGCCAATCTTTGACAAGGTTCCAGTCCTGTCCAGCCCTTGCCTAGGGCCTGAACAACTGTCTCTACACGCCTATCAGTGAGTGACATGTCCCCGCCACCTTGTACAGTGAGTTTCTTCTTTGTGAGTGCATGCCTGGCTTCCATAAATGTACCCTGAGCTCAGTAAATGCAGAGATGGAATCAGTCTTGTCTTTATAACTCCATGGATAGCACCTACCACTCAATAAGTGGTCAAACCAATAAAACCTAATTCAAAGCATGAAGTGCTCACAACTCCAAGCCTCCTAGAATAATCACCCACTGTGGTGTGCACCTGGCTGGGCAGAGCGGGGGAAAGCCCACCCTGGAGTCCAGGAGCAAAACAGTCAGGACCAAGCACCGAAGTCCTGCAGCTACAGAAGATAACTGAGGCTCTCAGTACCTCTGTTTTATCTCTGGAACTGAGGCAGCTCTTCATGCACTGCCCTCCTTCTCCTTCAAGCGCTTGAAGGGAATGCAAAGGTGTGCGGTGCACATGTTTCTTGTGGGGCATCATCTCAAAGGATTCAATCATTTCCAAAATGGCTTTTCAAATACTAGCTTGGCTAAAAGGAAAGTGACCCTATATTAGGAATCAAAAAATAGGGCAAAGCATAGAGCAAAATATTTGTTTTCTATCTCATTTGTGATGTGAAATTCTTACAAAAGTGAAATGGTGAAATTTAACCCCTGGTATAATTTAATACTAAGACTGTCCCAGAGAATCTAGTATGTTCAGTCATGGTATAAAAACTTAAGTAACTCTTTTATAATTTAAGCAGTGTGACTTCCACTTGTAAGAGAAATTTTAGGCTTTCATGTTACCCCTCTTCCCACCAAATAAAAACTAAGGGAATTAAACCAAATTATAAGAACTCTCTTGAGCATCTATCCAAAAGTTCAGTTGCCACCAAAGGAAAAAGAAAACATCTCAAGTGATTTTCCAAATACTTTGTCTAAAACAGCATATTCTTCCTTACATGAATATTTTGGCTTTTGAAGATGAGAGACAGAAATACAAAGATAGGAAACAGAGAGAGGGAGGGAAGGGGGAGATGGGGAGGTAGGGAGGGAGAGAGGATGAGATGGAAACAGTTGTTTGTGTCCTTGCCTTTTAAATTGCTTGATCATAAAATATTCTATTTGAGAGAAGGATGATCTCTTTGTGTTCCATAGATCAACTACTTAATTCTAAAAGTTACAGAATGCATATTAGGCATGCAGATTCCACTGGTACTTGCACTTGTATTAAATATCAGCTCCATATAATTTAAATTCATTGGGGTATGAAATGTACCAAATCTCTTTTGTGGGCAGTGCTCTGACAGAGTGGCCCATTTTGATTCAATAGTTTCAATGCATTAGTGGTCTGAAAGGCTTTTGGGGGTTCCTGTTCCATTCTGAGATGCATAACTACAGAAGAAATGGGCTCCCTTATTAAAACAAAAATTAAATAGCTGCCACCAAAGCCATTGTCTTTCCTGTGGGCACCCACTCGCTACAGCACATGGCCATGACCTACTGCCGGGGGAGGAACAATCCCACATTTACCCATCTGTTTACACCATTTTCTCACTTATCATTTATTTATGCCAAATTCTGTTCCCAAAAGGGAGAAGCAAATAAATCCAGGCAATGCCAACAAGGAAAAGCATGTGTGAAAACAGAAGGAGAAAAAAGAGGATGACTTTCAACACAATGTGGTTGCCAGTTGACTTTAGCCACTCAATATCTTAGTGAAAACGTGGTGTTAGCAGGATCTCATCTCAAAAATCTTATTAGCTTTGGATAAATGGAAGGTTTTCAGAAAAACTCAACTAGTGCAGCTTCCTAAGTAGAGGAAGTTGGAGAACATGCTTACGGCTTTCCTTTCTAACTGCTAGCTGCTATGAAACTCGACATATTTCAACTCCTTCCCCAGTCCACTCCCCAAATCAAACCTGTGGAGTCAGTGATATCTCAACAAAGTGCAGGAGGAGGCTTGACTGCTGGAAGGGTGTCAGTCAGCAGGAACCATTCTCAGTGATTTTATGAGTTACTAATGAGTCTTCAGAAAGTTGCTGCTATCAAGACAGAGCTTCATGAAGTATCAAGACATAAAGGGATATTTTATTACTTAAAATTCTGTGTTAGGGTTGGCTAGATAGCTCAGCAGTCTAAAGTGCCTGCTTAGGCAAGCTTAGGCAGGTGCAAGGGGCTGTGGTTCGATCCCCAGCACCACATGCCATGCCAGCCCCACCCTCAAGGTAGGCTGAGCAAAAAATAAATAAATAAGTAAAATACTGTGCTAGAGAAAATCAGGTGCTTCTGCTCAGCTCATGATTGTATTTACTACTGAAGTAGCATTGCAAATACCCTGACAAAGAGAGACAGACAGAGTGACAGTCAGAGATACACAAGACTAAACTGCCCATATAAATTCTATTTTCCTCTGATTAAATTCCTCACAAGGAGTATGAATGCTACCATGAATATTGTCCTGCAGGGTACCAACCTACAGGAGTTGAGTACTGAATTCAGGCAGTCAGCAAATCTTCTGTGAGGCTGGCAGGTCAGGTGTGTCTAACACCCCCTTCCACGAGGAAAGTCTGCTCCAACACTGTTCTCAGAACTCCAGCCAGCAGCTTGGACCCTTGTCCTAACAGATTTGCCTGCAAGATCCCACTGAACGCATTTACAGTACCTACCACATATCTTCTCACTTATAAAACAGGCTGCCAACACCGTTTCTAAGGCCACCGTAAGAATGACAATAAACCAACATTCAAAGGATACCTAGGGATATTAACCCTAGCAATTGAGAAAAATGAGGGTGCTTTGGCATGGGCCAATGTAATTAATTGCCAGGCTCTACTCAACCAGATCAGTTCCCAGAGTGGGACTTAAAGACGTTCAGAGACCAGAAAGATGCACCCGACAAGGGTCAGAGCTGCAAGGTGATGTTTCCATTTCTACTGCCTAGGGAATGGGCAAACCATCCCCTTGATGTATGTCATGCTGCAGGATGATATGCAGATGTAATCCAAGTGCCACACCACAGCCAAAGACTCAGTTATGCAAATGTTGCATCCCACTCCAAAGCACATCCATGTTTGTTTAGTACATGACTTATTTGTGTGACATCCACCTTCCAGAAAGATGCTCCATATTTATGGTACCTGGTGTTTATGAAGCACAAAACTAACATCTCTAACCTCCCCTCTCCCTGGAACCAAAGACAGCTGAGACTTGCTGTTATCCCTGCCATCCAACTTATTCTGCTCTCATCTCCAAGTGTTGATTCCATTGTGGCAATCCACACAGGTTTGCCTCCTACCTTGTCTTCCCTGGTGAGACTGCAGCTCCCTGCAGGGCCCAGCCCATGTCCCTCCTCTCTTTGTTCCTGTCTTCCAGGTTATTTTAATTTTGCCTTGCACCACTCACATTAAAATCAATCATATCCTTCTTGGTATTTTTCATTATTATTTCCATATGGCACACAACACTGCCCCATCCAAAATGGTGCCTACAGCAGGTAGGCTTATGTTAGAAGCACACTTAGAAATCCCAAAAGTGCACAGTACATGACAAAGTGGATGGATGTACATCATTCATGGCTGGAGGCAATGGACTGCTTCCACAGAAGGAAAAACACACTGGGAATCTTGGCCTATTCAAAATTATCTGGGGCAATGAAACAAAGCATCTTTGCACCTTTGGACATTCACATACAAACCTCTTAGCATCAAAAGTAGAGTTTTCAAAGCATCACCGT